ACAACAGGCCTGATGTTCCAGCCGCAAACACGTTGGTTGGAAAGAGGAAAGGAGGAGGGAGAGGCAGAGCTGCTGTAACAGAAAGTACCCAAAATACAGAGGCAGAAAGAGCCGAACTCACACTCTAAGTTGCTGTGTGACCTCGGGCAAATCGCCTCACCTCTCTGAGCCTCTAGCTTAAGATGGAACCGAGGACAGACCCCAGCTTGCAGCCTTGTGGGCATATTCAGTGGTATAGGGGCTGATGTGGGGCCTAATGCCTAGAGGGGCAGCCTGGAATGGAGACAAAAATCACAGACTTTGGGGCCAGATGAGGTTGCCACTTGTGAGCTGGGTGACCCTGGGCAGGTCACTTCTCCATCTGTATCCCCAGAGAAGGTCCTCACCAAGTTATTCTGCCAAAAAAAAAAAAAAAAAAAAAAAAAAGAATCCATTCACTGAACAAATATTTATTGGGCAATTCCTGTGGGTCAGGCGCTGGGGACATGGCAGGACATAGGACGGTCAAAGGTCTCTGCCCCCATGGAGTTCACACTTGTGGAGAGAGCAGGCAATACACAAGATAAATAAGTTGCATATTGCATTTGAGAAGATCCGTGCTAGGGAGAGAAATGAAGCAGGAAAAGGAGATGGGATTTCAATGGGCGGGGCAGGGACAGCCTGGTGAGCAGGTGACAGCTGACAGTGATCTGTAGGAGATGAGGGAGGGAGCTGCGGGGAGGGGAGAGTGTTCTAGGCAGTGGGAACGATGCACAGGCCCTGAGTGGGGGCTGTGGCTGCTGCGTTTGGGGTGTAGCAAAGAGGCCAGTGTGTGGAGCAGAGTGAGTGAGGAGAGAGACTAGGAGGACATGAGGGCCAAGAGGCTGTTGGGGGCAGATCCTGCAGGACCACGTGGGCTGTATAAGGACTTTGGCTTTTTCTCTGCAGGAGATGGGAGTCATGGAGTGTTCTGAGCATAGGAGGGACGTGGTCTGACTTCAGTTTTCATGGATCCCTCTGGCTGGGGGTGGAGAATGGGCTGGAGGGGCCAGGACAGAGGCAGGGGGGATAGTGGGGAGGTGATGGCAATAGTCCACCCTCTGTTTAGTGATCCTGGTCCTTCCCTGCTCTAAAGCCTTCCTGACTTCCCATCGCGTCTGGACAAAGCTCAAACTCCTTGGCATGACGTTCAAGGCCCCCTTACCTGACTCTACCTGCTCCCCGCCCCGGCTCCTCACTCTCCACCGCATCCCAACCAGATAGCCTCCTTCCCTGCTCCACATGCTGTCCACCTTTGCTTGTGCTGTTTCCTCTGCCAGGAATGTCCTTCCTGTCCCCCTTTGTGACCCAGCTCATGTGAGGCTTAGTCCCACCAAGTTAGGAGATAGAAAAGCAAGGAATAGAGGAAAGCCCGTTCCTGGAGAGTGTCAGGGAGGGCCAGGTTTCGGCTCCCCTCTTCTTCCTGGAATTCATCCTCCAGGGCCTCCGCAGCTGAGGGCAGGCTCAGGAGCTGGGAGTGGGGTTGTAGCCCACACGACCATGCTGTGTGACCTTGGGCAAGTCACACACCCTCTCTGGGCCTTGGCTTTTCTGCTGTGTAAAATGGGGAGGATCCTGGAGCTCCTCATGGTGGTTCTGTGCACTCAAGGGCTGTGGCAACTGTGGAATAACAGCATCCTGGGGAAGACATAACTGCACTTCCTTGCCCAGCCATGCCAGGCCAGCTCAGGTTGGCCCTGAGCTGATGCTAGGGGTAGCTTGGGGGAGGGGTGCCCTCTGAAACCCTGAGCATCTCCCGTTCAGCCACCCCTGAGTGACCTGAGCACCCAGGCAGCCTGGTTTCAAATCCCAGCTCTGCCACTTCGTAGCTGTGTGATCTGGGCAAGTAATGGAACCCAGCTGGGCCTTGGTTTCTCACCTGTGACATGGAAAGAGTAAGAGTGCTCTCCTCCTGGGGAGCTCAGAGAAGCCGGTGCGCTCCTGTAAATACCATGCTCAGTGCGAGGCAGAAGCGGCTTATCAAGACCAGCTGGCATTATTATTATCATCACCACTGTCATTTCCTGGCTTTGTGGCCTCAGGCATCACTTGCTTCCCTGTGCCTCAGTTTCCTCCCCTGTGAGATGGGGTAACAGTCCCACCTTCAAAGAGTTGCCATGAGGATTGAGCCTGACGCATGTAGGCACTCTTTGATTTTTGTTTGTTTGTTTGTTTGTTTGTTTATTTGAGACAGGGTCTCGCTCTGTTGCCCAGGCTGGAGTGTGGTGGCAAGATGGCTCACTGCAACCTCTGCCTCCCAGGTTCAAGCGATTCTCCCACCTCAGCCTTCCAGGTAGCTGGGACTACAGGCGTGCACCACCACACCCAGCTAATTTTTGTATTTTCAGTAGAGACGGAGTTTCACCATGTTGGCCAGGCTGGTCTCAAACTCCTGACCTCAAGTGATCTACCCGCCCCGGCCTCCCAAAGTGCTGGGATTATAGGTGTGAGCCACCGTGCCTGGCCTCACTGTAATTTCTTAAGAAAAACATTTCAAATGCAGAATTTATTTGATTCACTACCATAAGTCATCACTGATGTTTGAACAGTCCCTGTGAAATCCTTTGTTGTTCCTCTAGTCAAACAAATGCTTATTTGGTTTAATCTGACTTAACAAACTAATAAGATGAGGAAGAAAATTCCAGGCCTCGGGGCATTCGCTGCAGCCCAACCGGGCACCAAGAGACACATGTCCTTCTAATGAAGAGTGGAGGAAGATCAACACGATCCTTATTTATACTTCAAGTCATTATGACTGTGCAGCTGGGTGACCTTGGGCAAGTCCCTTCCCTTCTCAGACCCTCAGTCTCTTCTTTCCTGAAATAAGTGTGATAGCTTCCTACCTGCCCTGTCTAGCTCAAAGGATTATGGTCTGGCTCCAGGACATCACGGCTATCATTTATGAAGTCCCTCCTGTATGCAAAGTCCCTCTCCTTGACCACCCTGCCTCTTTCCAGGAGGGAACTGCTTGTTTTCAGGACAGGACAGTGAGCCTAGGGAGGTGGCAGAGGATGCTGCCCAGGGAGAGGAGGAAGTGGGGGGCTGGGGCTGGCTGGGCTGACGCAGCTGTGATGTCAGAGACCGGCCACAGGCAGCCGGCCCAGTGCTAACTGTGCGCTCTCTGCTGGTCTGGCCTGGCGCCTGCCCCCTCCTCCCCCGCCACCCCCCTTAACCCCTTCCCGGCCTCCTCTTCCCAGACGGCCATCCCCCAGGCCCAGCCTTGCCCACAAGATTCCCAGATTTCACAACTGGGGCTGGCGCTGAATCATGTACAGTAAGTCCGGGGAGAGAAACTCCCGGCTGCCTGGCGTCCCCAGGACAGGACGGCTGCCAAGCCTTCCCTCCCTCCCAGGGGCCCACCGGCAGCCAGGGATCATCCCCTCTGGGCCCCTGACCAGCTAGGGGGTGATGGGCGGGACACACAACCTCTCTTGGCTGTGCCAGGGATCGAGGGACTGTGCGGTTTCCAGGGAACCTTCAGGCTCTGGAGGGATGGGGACAGGCCAGGGTGGTGGGAGGGGGGTCGAAGTGGCCTTTTATTCAACCACAGCCTGCCACCAAATCACTGGTGACCTGGAGCAGTCCCTAACTGTAACTCTAAGTTACAGTTTCCTTATCTGGAAAGTGGGGATAATCACAGCCCTGACCTCACAGGTCGCTGGAAGGACTCTGAGGCGATCTGGGTATGGTGCTTACCGCAGGAAGCGCCCAATAAATATTATTATTATTGTTGTGATGTGGAGCTGCTCATGACACGCTTTAAGACGCTGGAGAAATCATCCAGTTCTTTGGATGACGTCTCCCCTGAAACACCCACCCCTCCCGCTGTGATACAAATTACATCTTATCTTTCCAAAACTTCTTCAGTACATCAGCAAACATTTATTGAGCACCACTGTGTTCCGTGCCTGCTACCAGGTCCTGGAGACACAGCAGTGAACAAAACCAGAAAGACATTTAAAAGCCCTCTGTTCTCGTGGAGCCTGTATTCTAGCTGAGGAGAACAGACATGTGAGGTCATTTCAGTGAGCGAGCAGGGCTCCAAAGGAAATAAAGCAGAAGGTGAGATGGAGAGAGCCTGGGAGGTCCCCTCTGAGGGGGTGACATTTGAAAAGAAGCCCCAACAAAGAGGAGAAGCCCACATGCAAAGGCAGGGGGTGGGAAATGGTGCTCCCGGCAGAGGGAACTGCAGGTGCTAGGGCCAGGCTGTAGGATCCTCTCGCTGAAGGCTCAGCAAGGGCAGTGGCTGGAGCAGAGGGAGTGAGTGAGGGGTGGGAGGTGAGCTTAGCGGCGCCTCCACCCTGGAGCAGCTCTCCTAATGCCAGGCTCTTCCTGAAAGTGGCCACCTGGTGCCTGACTTGTACCTGTGGGGGCAGCTACCTGACAAGGGCCCGGCTTCTTCCCACCTGGGGTCCCAAGGCCCTGGAGCTGCCCACTCACGGTAAAAAGCCTCATTCCCAGGAACCCCACGGAGGGCCAGGCTCCCCGGCCCCTGCCCTGTGCTCAGGCTGCCCCTGGGACTCCCCCGTCCCTCCTGGAGGGTGTGAGCCCTCCCTGCCTCTCAGCGGCTTGGAGTGTGGGCATCTGCATCTCGGAGTCTCAGTGTGCCCACCTGTGAGATGGGCACCATGTTGCCTCAGGGAGGAAGTAAAAGGAGGAAGGGAGCTCTGACCTTAGTATCTGTCCCCTGAACCCTGGAAGAAGGAAAACATCTGGGACTCACCGGGGACCAGGCTGTGCGTTCACAGCTGGATGCAGAGATCAGGCGTGTGTATGTGCGTGTGTGCATGTGTGTGCGTGTGTGTGTGTGCACGTATGGTGTGGGGGAAACTGGGTGGCATCAAGACCCAGGAGCCACAAGAGCGAGGAAGAGGGAAGGGGTGGGCTTCTGGGGACAGGGGGCAGTCAGAGCCTGGTTCTGGGGCCCAAGTGGGGATTGGGGCAGGGGGAACAAGAGGCCCTCCCTCCCAGGGTCCCAGTGGCCACCAGGGATCATTTCCTGGGATGTTTTAAAAATAATTTATTTCTAGAAAAGTCTTTCATCATTTTCCTTCAGGTCACGGAGGCTGAGATGGCTGACGGCACAGGTGGCTGTGGGCTGATGTGTCACTTTTGACCTCAAACTGAGGCAGCAGGGGGACGAAGTGGCCGCGAGGCACAGTATCTGGCATATGTGTGAGAAACAGCCACAGTGCCCGGGGGTGGGGCCAGGGTCTGAACGTGTCTCCCAAAGGTCATGTGGGCCTTTAAGAGGTGGTTGGGTCCTGCGGATTCTGCCCTTATGAATGGATTCGTGTCATTATTGCAGGAGTGGCTTCATGATGGAGAGAGTGGATTTGTCACGAAAGTGAGTTCAGCCATTCCTTGCTGTCTCACATGCCACCTCTTGACATGGGATGCCCCCGCCATGGGATGCCCTCGCCATGGGATGCCCTCGCCATGGGATGACAGCAAGAAGGCCCTTGCTTGAGTGAGCCCCTCCATCTTTGGCTCTCCGGCCTCCAGGACTGTTAGAAATACATCTCTGTTCTTTGTAAATTACCCAGGCTGTGGTACTCTGTTATGGCAACACAAAACAGACTCAAGACACCACTACGTGGATGAAGAAACAGGCCCAAGAGGTGAGGAGTGTTGTCCAGGTCTTCCGGTCAGAGGAGCGGCAGGATGGGATTTGAACCCTAGGACTGTGTGGCTTGTGACCACTCCTAGCTTCAGCCTTGCCTGGTGCTGGGGGGCTTGAGGCCAGGATGATGGTCAGATGTTTGGGCACACTGGGCCCTACCCACTTGGAAAGAGGCTGGCCTGGGGTTGAATCAGAACCAGAAGTGACTCAGGCTAGGACCCCTCTGCACCCTCCCTCAGGCCGCGGGTAATTACCTGCCCAGGTTAATATCGCCCACTTTCCGCCACCTTTCATCAAGGCTCCTGGAGCTGCCAGGCAGTAATTAACCCTTACAGCACCCCTCTGAAGTCAGCACTGAGGCAGACATGTGATGAAACCTGTTTTTTACGAGTAGGTAAACTGAGGCAGAACCCATTGCAGCCTGGGAGCCTGTTGTTTCCCCGTGACTCAGCAGCTCAATCAGTCGCTGCTTTCTTCCCACAGGAAGCACCAGCTGGCCCAGATGCTTCTCATCTTTAGAGCTGAGCTGCAGGCTGGAGACCTGGAAGGCCCTCGCAGCACCTGCTCTCACCCTCTCCCCTCACGAAAGCACAGGAACTTGGGTTTGGAGCCTATGAAAAGGGCTGGAATCTGACTCTGCTCTGTGACCCTGGGCAAGTCACTGCCCCTCTCTGGGCTTCAGTTTCCTCCTTGGTAACACAGAATGATTATACCTACCCCTTGGGTTTGTTGACCTGAATCTACCTCTGAGTCATTGCCTTTCCTTCTTGCTGCAGCCACACTGGCCCCTTGATGGTTCCTTGAACACAACAAGCCCTTGCCCACCTCAGGGCCTTTGCACGTGCAGTGCCAGATGCCTGGAATGCCCTTCCTTCCCATCTCCCCATGGCCGGTTCATTCTCGTCTTTCTTGGCTCAAATGTTACCTCCCCAACCTAGATAGCACCCCTGCCACCTCTTCAGCCTGTCTTACTCTTCCTCAAGCACTTCTGGAGGTATCTTGCTATTTATCTTGTTTGTATCTTTTTCAGCTCCATGAGGGCAGGACATCTTGTCTGTTTCATTCACAATGTGTTCCCAGAGCTCAGCACAGTGTCAGGCACACACTAGGTGCTTAAGAAACAACTGCTTCCTCTACCTCTTCCCCTGCCAGCCCCAAGTTCAGCTAACTGGCTGTGTGACCCTGGGGATTGCTTTTCACCTCTCTGGTCCCTTATTCTCCCTTGTGGACAAAGGACGGCCTGGGCATGAGTTTCTTCAAGGACTCAGGTAGCAATAAAATTCCTGGGACCCCAGCTTCATTATCTCCCCAGGCAATGAGGTAGAGAGGAAGAAGGCAGGTGAGCAAGGACCAGCCTCCGCCACGCAGACACCCTCTTTCCGGCTTCTCTGTCCTCCCACTTTGCCCTGGGTTTGTGGACTTACTCTGGGCAGATCTCCATGACCAGCCACCCCCTCCCTTGGCATGTCTGTCAGCACCCTTGGGGGAAAGAATTTGGAAAGGGGAGGGAGAAAAAGAAAGCAGGGTGCGAGAGGATGGTTCCCACACCTGTGTAAATAATTTGTCATCTTAAAATGCTCAAGTATGCTCACCTTTAATGCCTGGTTCTTGGGCTTGTTTTCCTTGGCAAGGCCCCCACAGGAGTGGAATTTCGGCCGAAGGGAGCCCAATTGTCATCTTCTAAGCATGTTCCCAGGCCGGGGGCCGGGGAGGGCTCTGACTGATGCTCCATTTCCGTCCCCAGAAGTGCTGGAACGTTCCTGGGATCTAGGGAGCAGCCTCCAGTCCTGGAAGCTGTCCCAGATTTCTGGAATGTTGGAATTCAAACGGCCTCCTGCCCATTTTCCGGAGGAGGAACATGAGACCCAGAGAGGGGAAGGAGTTGGCCTGAGGTCATACGATGTGCAGAGGCGAGCTAGAGTTTGCCGGGAGAAGGTGCGGGTGTGTGGACAAGTCAGCATCTATCTCCCATTTTCAGGTAACAGCACCTCGACTTCCTACTGAACAACCTTCTCTTCCCTCTTCTCAGTCCACGAGGAGGGGGGTGCCCAGAGGCCTCTGTCTCCAGGGGTGGACATGTGACCAGGTCTTGCTCTAGTGATTGGTCCAGGGATGAGCACATGACTGAGCCTGCCCAATGAAACTTGATCCTGGGACTTTAGAGCTGGCCATGATTTGTGAAGGAGATGCCATTTTTCCATTGGATGGACAGTGAGCAAGTGAACGCTTAGAGCAAAAAGAGAACAAAACAAGGGAAAAGCCTGCCTGGGAGGAAGCAGCACAGAGCTGGACAGGCTTTGAACTCCTAGATCCCACTGTACCTGAAATTAGGCGCCTTCAACTTTCCAGTTATGTGAGCCACTGCCTTTCTCATTTTTGGCTGAAAACAGTTGGGACTGGCTTTCTGTCCCTTCCATACAGAAGGTGCTGACTGACCCCTGCCCCATGGGAGAAGAGACTCCAGGCAGAGGAAATAGTGTGTATAGACACCCCAAAGCAAATGCCAAGCGGGGCACTCATGTGCCAAGGAGAAGGAGGAGGAGGCACCTGGGAGCTGAACTTAAGAGTCAGTCAGGTGGTCAAGGTGGGAGAAGAGGGTATCTTTAGCCGAGGAAACAACCAATGCAAAAAGCTTGGAGGGGTGACTAGTTAGTGAAGATCAACTATGTGCTGAGCTCGTGTTGGGTGGCAAGGGACACAGACGAAAAGGGCACAGTGGAATCCAGCTACTCCTCACCCGCCCCAACACAGTGCAGGCTTGTCTGCTTTTGGAGCCAAACCTGGACACCTCCGTGTCCTTCCCCTGGCAGAGTGCTGCCCGCGCTGTCTCAGACTCTCCAGCATCTCCTGGTTTGGTGATGTGCATCATGGGGAACACACAAGATTATTTTATAGGCTGCACAGACAAAGCGTAAAATCACCTCGGGTCACATAGCGAGTTATTCTCCCTGCAAATTCTTTACAGTCTTTCCTTTATATCCAGGAGAGTCTTTTTTTTTTTTTTTTTTTTTTTTTGAGACGGAGTCTCGCTCTGTCGCCCAGGCTGGAGTGAGTGGCGCCATCTCGGCTCACTGCAAGCTCCGCCTCCCGGGTTCCCGCCATTCTCCTGCCTCAGCCTCCCGAGTAGCTGGGACTACAGGCGCCCACAACCGCGCCCGGCTAATTTTTTGTATTTTTAGTAGAGACGGGGTTTCACCGTGGTCTCGATCTCCTGACCTTGTGATCCGCCCGCCTCGGCCTCCCAAAGTGCTGGGATTACAGGCGTGAGCCACCACGCCCGGCCCTATCCAGGAGAGTCTTTGTTTGGTGCTAACCTGCCTCTAAGACCAAATACTTGCTAATCTCCCTTTGTGAAAAAGAGAGCAGATCTCAGGCTCATTCATGTATCTAGCTAGACTTTTCAAAATGTCCTATAGAGCTGCAGCACATATGAACGAAGCGTTCAGCTTGTCCCAGGCCTGTAATCGGCACCCCAGTGAGCAGACTGGACATCCCCACCCCCAGAGAGAGCTGCCCTCTCTCCCCTCCACTCAAGTTCCCTCTAGGGATGCCGCGATCCCAACTTGTATCACCACAGATGAGTTTCACGTTTTTGAATTTTACATCTTATATGTTTTCTGTTTCTATACAAGTTTGCCTTTTCTAGAATTCCATATAAGTGGAATTCTATAATGTGTTATCTCAATTTGAGTCTGTTTTTTTTTTTTTTTTCCTGCTCAGCATGACACTTTTGAGATGCATATATGCTGTTGTGTGTATCCGTAGATGGTTCTTCTTTATTGCAGAATAGTGTTCCAGGGTATGGATGTACCAAAGCTTGTTCATCCATTCACCAGCTGAGGGATATTTGGACTGCTTCCAGTTTTTAGCCATTATAAATAAAGCCATTAGGCACATTTGCAAACAGGTTTTTATGTGAACCTAAATTTTTGTTTATCTTGGGTAAATTTCTAGGAGTGGAATTGCTGGGCCAGGCGGCCAAGTGTATGTTTCACTTTTTCAGAAACCGCTGAGCTGTTTTCCAAGGTGTCTGTACCATTTTTCATCCCTACCAGGAATGTATGAAAGTGTCAGTTGCTTCGTATTCTCACCAACACTTGGTGTTGTTAGGTTTTTTTGTGTGTATGTGTGTTTTACTTTTAGTCATTCAAATAGGTGATAATAGTATCTCCTTGTGGTGTTAGTTTGCATTTCCCTAATGACTAATGATGTTGAACATCTTTGTATGTGTTTCTTTGCCATCTGTATATTTTCTTTGGTGTAGTATCTGCTCAAACTTTATGTCCATTAAAAAAAAAAAAACCAATTGTTTTCTTCTTAATAGATTTAGAGAGTTCTTTATATATATTCTGGATACTAGTCAAGCCTTTGTCAAATATGTGATTTGCAAATATTTTCTCCTGTTCTGTGGCTTGTCTTTTTATTCTTTCAATAGGTAGACTTTAATAACATGGTTTTGTTTTCTTTGTAAGCATTTTTTCTGGTTATCTTTGATTTGTGGCATGTATTCTTCGGTTTTTCAATTCTAGTGATAACACCAAATGTTTTCTTTTAAAATGAATTTATTTAAGTAAAAAAGTCAGTAAATTTGAAGAAACACATTAAATACGGAAGAGTAGAAGTGGAGAGTAGACAGCATAAAAATTGTGAAGACAGTTTCCAATTTGCATAACCAAAGTGCGGGCAGCTCCGATTTGTTCATCAACAAATCCTGATGGAGCCCCCACTGTCCACCAGGCTCTGAGCCAGGTGCTGGGGACACAGCACCAAACGAGACAGTTGTTTCTGCTCTTTTAATGCTGGCTTTTCTCCAGTGAGTCTCTCTTCATCTTTCAAAAGCCAATTTGAATGACCCTTCCTTCGTCCAGACCTTCCCTGGAATGTTTGTCACACTCTACTGCAACTTTCTATTTCTGTCTCTCCCAGGCAAGGGGCACGTCGGGCAGCCTCTGGTAGGGTTGCAGAGAGCTTGGTGCATAGATACTTCAATAAATAGCCTCTCACAGAGTACAAGCTATGATGAGGTGCTGAAGACCAGTCGCTGATTCCATTGGTTGAAACCAGCCAGGTCTACCCTGATGAAGGGGCCTGAGGACCCTCCCTCCTGCAATCTGGCTGACCCCATGCAAACCAAGGTCTCTCCCCTTGGCCTCCCCTCCCACAGATAAAGACACCAAGAGAAAAAGCCTCCCGAACCCACTGCCTTCAGCCTCTGCTATGTGCTTCCCATCCAGTGCCCATGGATGCCTTTCCTGCAAGGCTCAGTATTCACACAAACACTTCCCAGGCATCTTTGCTCTGACCTGCCCCAGGCCCACGACCTTCACCTCGGCCTCTTACCACCCTTCCCCTGTTTCTCCACTCCAGCACACCAGCCACCATTTGCCCCTCCAACATGCCTAGCTCATTCCCACACCTGGGCTTTTGCACTAGCTCTTCCCTCGTTCATTGCCTTCTCTGGCTCTCCACGTTCAGTTCTGAACTTCACTGACCCTCCTCAGAGGCCCTCTAGGCTATGCTACCAAAGCCCTCTGTCCTTTTTTTTTTTTTTGAGACAGGGTCTCACTCTGTCACCCAGGCTGGAGTGCGGTGGTATAATCATAGTTCACTGCAGCCTCCATCCCCCAGGCTCAAGTGACCCTCCTGCCTCAGCCTCCTGAATAGCTGAGACTACAGGTGTGTGCCACCACGCCCAGCTATTTTTTTTTTTTTTAAGTAGGGATAAGGTCTCAGTATGTGGCTCAGGCTGGTCTCAAAATTCTGAGCTCAAACAATCCTCCCACCTCGGCCCTCCGAGTGCTGGGATTACAGGAGTGAGTCATTGTGCTCAGACACCCCATGTATTTTTGATCCCTTCATTCTGTTTCTTTCCTTTGTAGCATGGAATGCTCTCATTTCTGAGTTTATTTTTGTGTTTGTTTCTCGTCTGTGTCCCCTGCTGGAGTGGCAGTTCCATGAGCGATTTGAGTCTATTCTTCTCTCCATCTCCCCAGTGCCCAGCACAGTGATCAGCACACAGTCGGTACTCAATCAGAATTTGTTGAATCAATGAGAGAATGAATGAATGGGGTCATGAGCTCTCCCTTCTCCAGATGCACTCACGGCAAAGTTGAACCCATCTATCTGCCCATGAGTCAGGCTAGTTATCCTGTGGGCCCCTCCTGGGTGGGTACTGAGGGCTGCCTACTGGGTCCAGCCAGGCCTGTGTCTTGTCAGTTGCCCAGGCTAAGGGACTTTCCACTGTCCTTGGAGTTGGCCTGTGGAAAGTTGTTCTCAGGACCTCGTGAGCCCGGGGCCATGGATGGGGCTAGAGGTAGCTGCAAGGTACAGGGACCCCGGCATGAAATTCCATCAGTTAACACTGTAAGTGAGGCTTTCCAGCTCCCTTTTGTCCTCCCTGTGATGCCAAGGGGAGGGAGAAACACCTTGTGGGGCTTGTGTATCTTGAACACCTTCCTACCACCTGCTTTTTCTTCAGAAGAAACAGAGCAGATCTCAAGTACAAGCTGTCATCAGCAATAGTAGCTGGTTTTGTTTCACTTTTTTGTATATTTCACCAATTGTCTTCCATTTGCAGCAAGTGCCTTAGATTGGGAGC